ATCTTCGGTACAAAAAGATAGTGGTCCGAGTCAGCCACTGAAGACGTGTCTTCCGTCTATCACAACATGATCGATCGGGTTGTTGACTTTTCGATCCGGTATCAGCCRGGTAGCTTGATGATATTTTTCGGCATCTGGGTAGCTGGTACTTTGTCTAAWACCGGAAATAGTGTGCTGCTTGAGTCATATGTAAAATATCGTTTCTGACCTTGTCCTAATCAATGGTGCTCAGAGAACTTTCCTCTCTTGATTGAATTTCTACACACATGGTTCCATCCTCCTGATAGAATACTAAGTCTTGCCTTGATTTATTCGCTTTATCACTATAGTAATTTAAAATGTGATTAATCCTACTTATAAACCATTTGCCTTACTAGTGCCGCACTTATTTCTCATTTACACTTCCTAGCATGCTCTGCCGTTATAAATATAAAAGAAATATGTACAAGATTGCGAAACTTTCCAGGAAAGGGATATTAAAAAATTACTATTTATTTGTTGCCTATTTCTTTAAATTATTTCCTGTTAGTATATACGAGGGTTGTGTTTAAAATTTCAAGATTTGTGAACATAAAGCGATATTTATCATTGCAGAATGTTGTATTGTTTTTCAGAGCTTTCTCATTTAAGCCTTATACACATTTTCATACGTTCGAGAAAATTTTTTAAGCACTTTTGCAACACTCTTTGATGTATGTTCAAAACGTGCGTTCTGAGTGTATCAATCGCTTCTTCAGGTGTCGAAAAACGTTAATTTCTTGGTTTATTTTTTCGTGCAGGCATAAAAAGCTGTGATTCGTCCTCAACGGTTGGGCCTCCTGATTTCTTGAAAATGGTTGTTGCGTACAACTCAAAATTTATTATGCGACATATTTGTTTAAAAGGAAACAGGTGACCATTTGTTGGAAGTTTTYCATGGGCGAACAACTATTGTTAGATTCGGTTCAACTGGAAACACCCATGAACTCGATTGCTGTTCACTTTTACATATACATAAGTCCACAATTCGAAGTATCGCTATAATATTTTTTATAACATTTCTCGAAACCAATTGTTCATAATTTAACATGATCGTTTACTCATGCATTTACCCATGTATTAAAATGTACACTTGAAAACAACCTATGTCAAGTAACAATAAACAATATGCTGTAATACATACAAACATACACATTTATTTTCCCTGGATATAAGTCTTTTCATACGAATTTTGTTACGAATCAAACACCAATCGGCACAAGCCATTTTGAGCGAGTGACAAGTTGTGTGGGATACAAAGTGAAAAAAAATTATCAAGAATGTTTGCTGGTTCCAATAAACCCAAGTTATCTTAATCTGATAGATCACATGACGATCTTGTAAAATTAGTTTGGGTTAATTATCGACAGTTTACGGCACATAAAATGTAATGGGTTAACTCCATTTTTGGGCTGTAAATAACACATGCAGCGCTCGAAAAGTTTCAAATTTTATGATACAYTTGTAAGTTGCCATATGGCGACCCTAGGGTTGCTAAGTCCCGAAATATAATAGGAAAGCTACCTAAGTAAGTACTTTATAGTTTTTTATCACAGTAACTATTTTTAACAAACTTTCGGTTTAACATCTTGATTTCGAAGTGCAAAAACATTATTATTTCAACAAAAACATATTTATTCAATGGCCTAATTGTTGATGACGGTACAAATACCAAAATAACACGTCTCTTCCCTACAGTGTGACAAGTTCATTTTTCAGTTATATTGAGTTGTAATTATATATTTGTATTTGTGTAAAAATATTTGTTTTTCATATTCACCGTTTACTTACGATAGAGTTTAATTGTGCCATCCGTATCACCAAGAGAATTCTTCGCCACACAACGGTAAGAACCGAAATCTGATGCGTCAACATCCTTTATGGTTAATCGCATAGTTATTTTGTAGCCACTTTCAAAAGTTTCGGATGCGAAGTGCTCACCTGTGAAACAAAAATCATATACAATAGCAGTGTTAGTAAGAAATATGTACATGATTATGGCTATGCTTACTTAAACGCATAAACCATGTTACGATAATACGTGTTGTTAATGTGTAATATGAGATAAGAAAACATATTGAGGTTTCTGTACATATTTTTGCGAGATCAAATAAGATTTATAACCGAGACCAGAAATTTATCCGCAGTCGCACGCTGGATCACTGAATCGAATTTAATAGTTATCTCACATATCGAACTCTTGTTCACCATAAGTATCATAGCTTGTGTAAGAACACTTAGAAATGTAAAAATATTTCTACTTAACACTTGTTGTCATATGCTGCAGTTAAAGAAATCAAAAATTAAAAAAAAAAAAATATTTCTTCCGGTCTGAACTAAATTCGTTTTGAAACTTTAGTTTATTAGCGTGCATGTTTGTCGCTCAACTACAAAAATGCATTAAGTTCTTGAATTTTCATCGACCTTATTAGCATATGACTCCAAAATCACCACAAGATACAATATAAAT